GAGATCTCGTATGCAGTTTTCTGGCTTTTTATAGAGATTGCAGTTCTGTTACCACATGCAAAGGTATTCAGCCATTCATGACTCTCCACCATACGCAAGTCTATATGTCCCATAATTGCACACTGCTAAAAAAAAAATATAGAGAGATTGCAGGGTGCATGAGAGGCACTAGCTGAACATTCCTTGTATTTACCTTCCTTTATGAAGAATATCCGTGTCCCAGTCAATCTTCACACTTTATTTCCAGTGCAGTCCCCGATCTGATTACAGCTTCTTATACTGTATATTGTATCTGCATTGTACAATCAGGTTTCATCACTCCATTGCAGCACCATGCTTCCTGTACTGCCGGGGAGGGGCGGAACCGGTGACGTCACTGACAGCCGAGTGACATGTGAGTCAAGGCACTGTTTACGATCACTGCTGCTTCTTGCTGGCAGAGATGTGGAGAGTGCTGCTGTACTGACACATCAGTTTGGTGAGGACGTTTGCTACAGGGAATCTACAGTGCATGATGTTTGTTTTGCATTTACATATATAAATGTGAGTGTAAAGCTGCTTCAAAAATCTAATCACTGATGTTCTTGTAAGGAATTTGCATTTCTTGATAGTTCTTACTCATATAGGTCAGTAGATCAGCCATATGTGTCCATAAATCACTGAAGAACCTATTTCTAACTATAGTTTTTAAAAACTCAAGGCAGATATAATAGACACAAATTAGGTCCTGCTACATCCTTCAACTGCTGGATCCTTCAACTGAGGAAGTAAGGCGTATTACCCAAAATGTTACAGACTTTCCTGTCCCGTTAGATCCCGCCTTCTTCCTTTTACATCATATTACAACACATAGGACAAGAAAATTCTGTCCTCCCACACTAAATAAATGCACCTAGGCATTGTATCCGACATGTAAAAACAGCAGCGCGCCGCCTGTCCCACTCTTTCACCTTATGGCTCAATAAAATGTATGAAATCTAGTGAATGGAAGACCTTGTATCATCTGGAAAGGAGACACATGACAAGTTCTGGTGGACTTGATTCTACTGGACTGAGTTCTCCTCCACTCCTGAATACACAGCACTCATACACAATAACCTCTCCTGACCATCTCTTTCATATGTCACAGATGACGGAGGGGCACCCCTAGATAGAGGAGAGATGTCCCACTTGTACCCTCTTCCCCCTTACCCTCCCTTCTTTCTTTCTTGATAATCTAGGGTTATACCATATGATGGACTTGCACTGTTTGCTACATTATGGATACTGGGTCCAAAAGAGTACATGTATGCTACCTTACTTCTGGTGTATGTCAAAACATTTAACTCTAAAATTCTACACTTACATACACACTGCATGGTAAAAAAAAAAAAAGGCACCACCTGGATTTAGCTAAGAAGCTAAGCAAATAGGCCAGAGCCTTTCATTGGATAAGTGTTATGATCTGGAGTTGCTTCAGTTGGTCTGCTCTTGGTTCAGCAATGTTAGGTCCCCTCAAAATTTTTTTTTAGGTGAGCTGCCTACCTGAATATACTGAATGATCAAGTTTTTCCATCAATGGATACTGTTTTCCCTGATGGCACGGGCATATTCCCAGATGACAATGCCAGAATTCATCGGCCTCAAATGAAAAGAAGTGTGAAAGAGTGGTTCAGGGAGCATGAGACATCACAGAACTAAGGCAGAGCGGTGAGGGGAGAGAGAGGCGCTGGCATTAGTTCTGTGACAGCGGCTCCGTCCTCCGCCACTGGTTCCTTCACTTCTTCTCGGATCCCCGCTGCATACAGATGAGGGGAGCAGCGGGGATCCAGAGAAGCCCCACCGGCGGGAGGAGAGGACATCGCGATCTACGCGATCACTGGTAGATCGCGATTGACCTTATGGGCACCCCTGGTCTATACAGTCATACATATAATCTTGTAAGGCACTCTTACTAGTTTGTGTGTGTAGTACCAATTGTTCCCTGCTAGATGTCTCCCTCCCTAGATGTCTCAAACTCGCTCACATGATAGAATACAATTTTAATACCAAATAGGTAACTAAACATGAGATTGTAGTCTATCATGGGAGTGAATTTGGAGAGGCAGGTACTTTACAACACATACAGGGACCATAAGTAGCCACCCTGCAGAAGAAAGGACAGTGTCAGTATGCATTTAGAGATGATTTGAGGATCTACAACTTAGTGATACACAAATATGATACATTTTTGATAATAGGGTACTTAAAAGATTTAAAGTGACATTAGAGTATTTTTTTTCCTCCCCCCAATGTTAGTGTAAGGACTTACCTTAAATGATGTCTCTCAATCCGATCTTCTTCTTTCCTGTAGTTTTCAGCCTTCTCTCCAGCGCTGCTGCGGGTCTCCGATCCAGCTCTGACTCCTCTGTCCTTGCTGGCACTTCCTGTCCCACGTTGTCTATAGACTTACCTTGTGTCTCTCCTCGTCTCCCGGCCAAAAGTCTGAAATGCGCTTGTGCCCGCCCCAAGATTCTTTGCGGCCGCCCGAGATTTTTCAGATTTTCGGACGGTAACGCGCGGCAAAGACACAGGTAAGTTTAAACCTCTTTTAAAGCGTTTAAAAAAATACGTTTTTGCATCTGTCTGCTGCTTGCTAGCAGTAGATGTATGCAAAAAAAAAAACCGGAGGGTTTAATAACACTTTAACTGAGTTGAGTAATTTTTTTAAGCAACACAGCCTAATCTACAATAAGGCAAGATACTGTAAAAAGTGCTCAACCACAATGCTCTGTAACAAGCAAACCACAGTGCATGATCGCAAGATTGCGGCCCTAGTTGGTAGGGTGGAGGTCTGTGATGTGATCCCAAAGCAGCAGCCAGGGATCGGCCAGGCAGTAGCTTCCAGGATCCAAACATATGGTCACTGCAGTTTGAGGGGGGAACTCTGACAGAAGGGCTGTTCTCCCTGTCATTTATGCTCCCAGGCAAAGTGAATGCATGCGTTGCCCTACCCCTGCCAAAAAAGCAGGGCTGCCCTAGTGAATCCAGTTCTAAACATCTGTGAAGACATATTCGCTCCCCAGCTGACTGGAGAGATCACAAAGATCTAGAATAAATTCAGCATGTCAGCCATTCAGTTGCTTGATAGAAGAAATAATTAGCCAGGTCTGCGAAACCTGGAGCTGGGAGATGCTTGGATGCTAGGCTCCCAGCAATTGTGGTGCTAGGTCACACAATGGAGCTGTCCTCCTAATTGCGTCTAAAACCTACTCCTGCAGATGCACTATAACCAAAGGCTCTGATTGATCTATGAAATGACTGTCTCTCTGAACAACAGAGGAATAAAAGTGCAGGTGTGTTAAGGGCTTGTTCACACCGGAGCATTGTGCTAATCACATGTGTTTAGCACACGCTATCACACAACACACCTAGTGTGCAGTGCTATACTATAGGTTTGTTGCCATTCATTTAAATGGCACCAAAATGCAATCTTGCAGCACAACACGCAGTACTGCAATACCTTGCATTGCGGCGTGGTGGGAAAAAAAGTAGTGCATATGCTACTTTTTATCACCACACAGTACTGTGGTACCATGTGTGGCGCTGCAGCGTATGGGTGCGGGGAGGTCCTAAGGGATGCAATTCAAATAAATTGCAACTCAACACACCTAGTGCAAGGTAGTGCATGTCAGTTGCTAGGGATGCACCAATACTGGTATTGGTGCCAATACTGAGCATTTGGGCGAGACTCTCGTATTCGCCCAAATGCCCCAAGTGCCGCAAGGGAGCCAGTTTCCCGGCCAATTAAGAAGCCGGGGTGGCAGGTCATGACCCGCCCTCACGTTTCCTGATTGGTCAGGAAGCCATGCTGCCTCGCAGTTTTGCGTGGGAGCTTGAAGCTGGTGTTCTTTTGACAGAACACTTGTTTTTCAGGCAATCAGGAAGCGTCCTGATTTGCCAGTAAGCGGGGCCCACGTTACCTTGGGAGGCTGATATCAGTTCTCTGTTTTGACAATAAAAAAATATCGGTACTCGTTACCAAAAAAACGGTATCGATGCATCCCTACTAGGTGCATTGTGCGGAACACTCAGTGCGAAAGGGCTCTAAAAGGCCAATTGAAAATGAATGGGCTGTCTGAACATAGTGCGTAGTACGCACAGCGGAGTCCTGAGGTTAGCCTTAGGCTGGGCACACACCTTACAAGCATCGCAAGACTTTTGTCTTGATTGTGGGGACCTTAACACTTTTATACATTAGTAGCAAAGGCACAGTCCACCTTTCGAACTGTGTTTCACATTATATCCATATTTAGTATCCATATAACTTACTTGAATTGTGGGGTTCTTCTCTCTTTACTGATGTCTTGTTTCCTAAAACAAGTGTCGGAAGCAAGGCGGCACCATGCATTCACAGATATGTGTGAAAGGGAAGACTACAAGTCCCATCTGCTACAGTGGCAGAGGAACTCACAGATCACACTGGCTCAGGTGCAGTGATGTCACTGTGCACTATCAGTGTGGTAATGTCACTTCACTTCCTCCAGCCCCAAAACACAAACTTTGCACCTTCATGCAGACTTTGGGTTGGGATTTAAACAATGTACATTGCATCCATGATGTATTCATCATGCTTGCAACGCTTTGCAGGCTTCAATTCAAAATGTAATAAATACACATTTTTAATTTTATTAATATAGGCACAGTTATGTTTTTTGTTGCAAAAGGAGGACTATGCCTTTAAAAACAAAGCTGCAGTAACATTCTGGCAGGTTTCCAATGTAGGAGTATATGTCTCTAAACACCTTGCAGTAAGGAAACAACAACACTAACACGTATTACTGCACTGACAAGCCGTCTTTATTTATATCTAGAAATGTTTCTGTGGCTTTCCACGGCCATGTCTGTATATTATTGTACAAGGTTCCGCCGCCGCAGCCAATAACCGAGAACTTGTACAGCCACTTAGCTACCATAGAGTATGACCTTCTACCCACAGCCTGAGATAGAGCGTCTACAGCATGCACTCCGCAGTAGGCGGCCACTCCAGGCTTACAGCTTTATGGTAGCGGCGGTTACGCCTGCGTGAAAAGTTGAATGTCGAGGTGTGTCTGACAGAGACAGTATGGCGGCCTCCATCATGTACAGCCGGCTGTCAGTGGGGCTGAGGAGTCGGGCGCCCCGGGCTGCTCTCGGCTGTGCCGCACAGGTAATTAGCACGGAGTGGAGTTTGAAGCGAGGCTGGTGTATGTCGTCCTCTCACCGTTTATGTATATGGCTCCAGCTCTGATGTGTTGGGGTTGCCTTAAAGGGACGTTGTTGTTGCCTGTTATACAAGATGTGTTCTGAGCCTGCTGTCAGTGAATGGAGGATTAAAGAGCACAGCTTTCAGCACTGAGGGGCTGATGTAGGGGAAGGTGATCTCTGGAAAGTTTCTTTTTGCTTACAACAACCAATCACAATACTGCATCACGGGAACCACTGATACAAGATGAGATATTTATTTCTTGTAACAGGCTCTTACCCAGGGACAGACAGTCTTTGGTTTTTGTAGACGCTCACATTGATGATCCTGCTGCCGAGATCACTGGTGTGACATAGCTCTAAGAATGTTCCCTGGATACTGTGCCTCCTGATGTTTCAAAGGCATAGTCCACCTTTTGCAAAAAAATAATAAACGCACCTACAAAAAAAAGACATTTTTATATTGGAGCCTGCAGAGCATTGCAACTCTGATCAGGCACCTGCAGACCCCTCCCTCAGCACCAGTTCTATATTGAAGTACAGAGCTTCAGTTATAGAGTCGCAAAAGTAATCAATGGACTGCAAGTGTGGTGATGTCCCCGCAGTTCTCCATTGAGAATTTCCAGTGCTTCTAAAACAAAAATAGAAGCTGCAGAAATCAGTTTATAATTAGCATTGACAGTAAGGTGCACGGGGAGGGCTTTTCCCAGCACACTTACCAGCTAGCCTGGAAAAAAAAAAAAAAATGACGAATAGTTGGACAGTGTAACTTTTTTTTGCAAGCCTGCTGGTAAGGCCCCTTTCACACAAGCTGATCAGCAGGGGATCCCGCCCAGATCAGAGTGGTACGGATCGGATGCCACCGCTGTAACATCTGAATCTGTGCAGTTTTTTCCTAATAAAGGAAAAAACTGAAATGACCGGACCCCATGTTGGTCTATGGAGCATTGGATGTAAATGTACATGTGTCCCTTTTCATCAGATCACCCCTGATCCTGCACAATCAGGTCCCTCAGAACGGAACACTGTTCCATTTGTTTTTCCGGACCTGGCCGGAGTCAGGGATAATCGGACACGTCTGTTTACACCCAGCTGCCCATAGACTTACGCTGGGCATCTCATCGGGTCTTTCTGAAAAACTGACCGGTGGACTCGATCAGAACGCCCACGTGAGGGGGACCTAAGTGTGCTGGGACATTTTTGTGTTTGTGCCCTGGTGACAGATGGGACTTGTATTCATCCCATTCATAAATTTCTGTGAATGGATTACTTGAGTGAGTGGATGAAGCCATGCTAAAGCATGGCGCTGCCAGGAGAAGAACCCTATGATTCACTTAAGAGGAGGTGTGTGGGAAATGTGACCATGTTATACTCCAAATATAGGAGTAACATGAAACATGGTCAGAAAGAGGAGTGTTCTTTTCAAGCCTAATTCCAGGCAAGATTGCCTTGACAGGTTTCAAGCAGGCAAACATTTTTGTTCTCCGAAGAACCTCATTGTCATGCAGACATACTTTTTTAGTTCTGCAAATCATTTGGCTCATAAAAGAGGAAAACCAACTCTCGCTGTACCTCGCTGCTGTGGCTGTAAGTGCTGCAGGTCTCATAGTCCACATCTCCACCCCTCTTTCCCCCAGGCCATTCATAAAACACACATCCAGGCTGGATACTATTTGCCTTCTTATCTTTTTTTTTTTTTAACAAGGCCACTTTTGCATTTTGACCTCAATACATTTTTTAAGGCTACATGGTATGTGGGCTGACTATTTTGAGTAATTCGGCAATAAATCTGACAGGGGTTCTAGCCGTTCACTGAACTCTTGTTTGCTGATGTCCTTTCCGCTGAATGAATCCAGATGATCCAAATGATGATTTTGTCACTTCCGATTTATGAGCTGTGCATCATGATCTGTGCCAGATCAGCTTCAATGGGCTGCAAAGGCAACATTAGGAGTCTATCCTTTAAAAAAAACCTTACCAGTTCTCATATGACTGCCGTTTTGGGCCATGTTCTTTTGAAGCAGCTGGTGCAGGGGATTTTGAGCTGGCATTCCTTCTCTCTGTGACATCATTGCTCTAACAAGGATACTGTAAAGAAGTTAGGATATAAGGAAGTGTAATGTTTCTTTTTAGGACCGTGATGTAGTGTGGGGTGGGATCTCATGTGCCCTCTGTTGGCCTCCATTCACACTTGTGTGATGCCACATTGCACAGGTGCAGCAGGGTGAGTTGTGGCTGGGCGACCCATTTATATGAATAGGCTGTAAATCACACTCACACACTTAAGGTGCTCATACACCTATCAATTTTTGAAATCGGCCCCAAATGGTCTTTCGAACGATAATTGAAAAGTTGATGGCACGCCAACGATTTTAATTACTGTATTCCTGGACGAATTTCCTCGATTGGTCCAGCTGGAATGCTTTTTTTCAAAACGTACGAAAATGGATGGATTAGTGGCGCTTTCCTACGAAAAATGGCAGCAAGAACACTGCACATGCGCAAACTAAAATCCGTTCTGTCGATTTGACAAAATTCCATGATTTAGTATTGCTAATGAACGATAATCGAAATTGGTCTATGCATGATGGGGTATGTAAGCTAGAATGGAAAGAGGAAAATCTATAGGTGTATGGGCAGCTGGAGTAAGAAAAGTAAGATCCCCAATGTATCCGGCTTACATCGCCAAACAGAGTGAGGGTGGGGAGCTAAAGCCCTGGGGAATGGCATGGGATTTCTTTGTGATCTAGTAAGGGGTATTTTTTTTTTTTTTAGACTTTTTTGGTATCCCAGCAAATGCAGAATTGGCAGCTAAGCTGAATTTGCTCATTACTACTACTTGTCATACTGTGTGTAGACAGAAGCCTTTTATTATCTCTACAATTCACACGCGCAGAATACAACATTTCAACATTCCTCTTTAGTCTCAGTGAATACTTCTTTATTATGTGAAGGCATATTGGTAGGCATGTTTCACTGCCTGGGCTCAGCATACTATATTGGCCTGCAATATACAAAACAAATGGAAGAAGACATTTTCATGGACTGAATCCCTGCAGTGTAGATATTATGCAGTGCAGAGTACAATATGTTGTGGTTGCCTTGGACAGACCTTTTCTGCAGCATGTAGTGAGCAAATAAGGAAATGTGATGTGAGGGGGAGTGTTATGTTGCTGTGAAGGAGCAGTGTGTCCTTGTACTGACTTCTAAGATCAGCTGTCTTATGAGCAAATGTAACCTGGCTTTCTTTTGCTTGGTAGTGCTGGGAATAAGTTCTAGGGAGTTAACTACAAACGTGAGTTGTACTCTAGACTCTGTGTAATCAATGCTACATGAGTTACATATACTGATAACGTGACTTCTTTGTGCCGCATGGCCTTCAAAATATTGAACACGTGTGCTAATGATCTGTGCTTTTGCTTCTTCATAGTTAGCCATTAAAGTAGAGCTTTTTTTTCTTCTTAGCTTTGGATAGAGTAAGAAAGGATTATAAACCCCGTTAGCTGTTGCTATCTGTGTCCCATTTAGGGAGATTTCCCTTCCCTTCACTTCCTGTCCGATAGCCACAACAGGAAGGTAGTAGAAATCCCTCCAAAGAAAAGGAAATAACTGGTGGTCAACAGGGTCACCAGTACTATTGCCCCCATTGGAACAGTTCCCATCTTTTCCTGTTCTGATGACAACCACAAATTTTGTGGTTATTTTATTTATTTGTTTCTATCATTTTCAGTGATAACGGTCACCCTTACAATTAGAGAGGGTGAATCTCTCTAATGTGGACACAGACTGCAAAAAAAAAACCTGATGGGTGTTCTAATCCCTCTACACTCCATTCAAAATGAACCCAAAAAAAGTTTAGGCTTCAGTTTCACTTTTAAGAAGCTGCTGTTTTTGCTTGCTTTGTGCTGAATCCATCATTGTATCCAATATTTATATGTTGCTTCTTATGAATGTAGTACTTATCACTGTATGATGTGCTCTTTACTACGTAGAAATAAAATAAAAAATTGTGTGTATATATACAGTGATACCTTGGTTTAAGAGCATAATTCGTTCCGAAAGCATGCTTGTAATCCAAAGCGCTTGTATATCAAAGCGAATTTCCCCATAGGAAATAATGGAAACTCAGATGATTCGTTCCACAACCCAAAAATATTCATATAAAATAATTACAATACTGTACTGTAATATAATACTGTACAAAATATAAAGAAAAATAAACAATTACAGGTACTGTACCTTTGTGGTTGGTGTGAGGGAGACGAGAGAGAGGAGAATTATTGTGTAGGGCGACTTTCACTATCACTCAAGGAATCACTGCTATCTCTTGGCTCAATGGAATCTTTTTCATTTCGTGAAACCTTAACAAGGAATCTATCCAATGACACTTGCTTTTGCCTCCTTTTGAGGATTTCGCGGAAATGTGACATTGCATTGTCGTTAAACAGATTCATCGCTCGCACTGCTACAGCCTTATTCGGGTGGTGCTTTTCTACAAAATTTTGCTCTGTTTCCCACATTTTACACATCTCCCTAATCTTATTTGAAGTGAGGGATTCCTGCGCCTTATTCTCATCCTCCTCTGCAGATGAGATCTCCTCCATAACCTCCTGCTATTGCTCGCAATGCAGATGCATCATTTCGTCAGTGGTCAGCTCCTGGCCATGTTCCTCCACCAGCTCTTGAATGTCGTCCTC